ATATGACGAAGCATTGTCCTTGACATGGCCTGGCTTAGTCCCTACAACCACCCTGTGTATTAGACCTTATCTCCACTGTTCCGAGAAGGAATCTGTAATCTAGTGAGAGACGTTCTTAAATACGGGCTCCCCAACTCCAAAGTCTTATAACCACACTTTTGCTGCATCCTTCTAATCCAAGGGTCGGCAAACTTTTCCTCTAAAGGGCCACATGGTAAATGCTCTCAGCTTTGCAAGCCCCATAGTCTATTTCAATTCTGGCCTTACAGCAAAAGCAGCTAGAGACTAGAAATTAAACAAACCCAATGGAAGTGTCTATGTTCCAATAAAACTTTATTTATAAAAACAGGTAAAGCAGATTGAGCCTGTAGGGTGTAGTTAGTCTAGTCCAATGTTTTTCAAACAATGATCTATCAGCATGTGTTAAAAATCTGAAGCCTCAGGCCCTGCCCCAGACCTACCAATGAGAGACCGAGAACGGAGCTGGCCCTGCGTTTTACCAGGCCCTCCAGGAGATTCTGCTGCTTGTGAGGTTTGAGAACCACTGCTAACCTTCCCGATTGAGCACGTGGGACTCTCCTATTACATAAAGTGTGGATAACTAAGGTGATTAATGTGCCCCACTGCACCAGAGAGCATCTCTCCTCCACCTCCTTCTGCAGCACCTCCGGGTGACCCATGCCCACACACCTACCATGTCCAAAGCACCCCTCCCCTCAGGCACTCTGACTGGCAGGGAACGAGGGTATTTCCAGTCTCTGCTACATGTACAGAACCACCCCTTCCCCTCTCCACACTACTACCTTCTCCCTGTGCCACTCTCATCGCCATGTCCTGACCCTAGAACAAGTGACAATTCTTTCAAGTTCTCACAGGGGAAAAAGCAATCCCCTTCCCACATTAATTTTGTATAACATTCCACCTTACCACCCATTCCTCCTTCTTCGGCTCTTTTATTCTGCAACAGAAGTAGAAAAATAGCTGAGACCATGGAGTTTGCTTTGGAAAGGCAAATAATACATCTTCTCCTCTCCCCGACCTTTACAGAAACTGTGAGTGGGGTGCTTTGAACCCCACCCCCAGAACGTGTTCCATTATAGAAGAAGTGAACTTCCAAAGTTCGACTGGGCTTTGGGTTGATGAAGAGTCTTTTAGGAAATGATACTCATCAGTCTTTTGATGATGAAAAGCTGGGCCCCTGGCCTGGTTTGGTGAGGATGCCCTGGAATTAGAAGGCCCTGGGGATGTGAGGGAAAGGAAAGGAACTACTCTGCCTAATACACAGATGGGCGCCCTGGGGTTAGGAGACCAGCATATTGTAAACCGATGTCTGCCTTTCATTGGATTAGTCCCCAGAAACAGGGTTTAGATTGGATAGGCACAGTGGGGCAGGCTGGACTGTAGAAAAGAGGAGGAATCACAGGAGCCAAATACTTGGCAGAAGTCTGTTGTCCAAGGGAACAAATGGCTAATACAAGGACTGCCATGATAACCGACCATTGTTCCACTCATTCCCAAACTGTAAAGTTTAACTTTCGCCTTAGCATGAGGCTTAGGAAATAAAATCAGCACTCAATCACGTTCAGAAAGAAAGTATTTCATCCTTGTTGGGATAGCCTGAATTCAGACACACACACGGTGGGGCAGGGGAACAATGGCAATTGTTTTTGAAGACTTTACCTCTTCCATACCCTTGCTATTATCAAATATTACATTACTCTTTCTAAAGAAACAGAGAACAAAGCAAAGAGTGCTTAAATAGCTTTTTTTTTTTTTTAAGATTTAAATGTATGCTATTTTACCCCGTACGTATTCACAATACTCATCCTTAAGACCTGTCTTGAGTGGAATGAAAAGCATCTTTGAACAGCCAAAGGAGTACAGACCAGTAACTCTCACTCTTTTCGGTGTAGCTAGAATGTTTTCTAAGGCTATAATATTGTTCAAATTACACTATATCCAGTACATGTGCACACACTGTAACTTGAACTCAAGGATACAAATATTATGTTTTTTCTCTTAGATTCAGTGTGTATTATTCAATAAGTCAATTAAAATACATTTTATAAAACCAACTGATTTAAGTTTTAATCAATTCTCACCTTATTACATTTTAAAAAATATTTTCTGTTTCCTATATGATGTTCACAAACATAAAATTATTTTCTAGTCACTGAACTAACTCATTTTTAGCAGCAAATACCTTATTTTCTTTTTTTTTTACATTTGATCATTATGCCTAATTAAATTTGTGGAGTTTTGCTGAATTTTATGGATGATTCTTATTGAGTTATTCCCCAAAAGCCAAATAAATCTGATATATCTCTATATACTGAAAAAATACCATGCTCTCTATCATACTACACAGTTAATAAATAACATACATTTAGCAACATATATTACGTTGCTGGTGATGAGGTAAGAAAAACACTTTGTTTTCATAACCAATTTTGAAAATGGATAAAACAATGATATCTTACATCATTTTAATCTTCATTGCTTTTAGTAATAAATCTTTTAAGATTCATTCCATGACTTTGTCTCTCTGTAGTCTTCATTATACTCCTCAAAATGCATGAGTTTTCTTTGATTTGAAACAACGAAGTCAAACTGTTTCTGAGGGAAAGTAATATCCAATCTGGCTAGTTTGATGATGAAAACAGGCTGTTAATTAAGTTACATGACAAACATTTTTCACACTTGTCAGTGTTACCTTGAATGAGCTGTACCACTAGCTGAAAAGTTATGGCAAAAACAAAATTAAGCCACCTAACGACGACGCCAAGCATTTTATCCAAAACTATTTATGAAAATGAAAAACATTTTGATTTTCTCCAAAGTTTGAGTATGTCAGGTTAAACATGAAACATTTCATTGGGGGGAAAAAACAAACAAAAAAGAAATCTATTTCATGATCATTTGATGTCTTGATAAAACCTATTTAGTATATTTCCCAGAAACTGGGGAAAAAAAAAAGAATAAGGACTAAGTAAACAAACCCTTTAGCAAGTCAGGTGGTTTTCAATTCTTTGCTTTCAACAAAATTGGAGGGCCTAATGGAATAATCAGCTCACAAATCATCAGACGTAATTTTCAGAGATCAAGAATTGAGTGACATTGCTACTATAAACTACGTCCCCAGGTACAGCACTTGTTTGTATGAACAGAGTCTCTAAGGGCATACAGCTATAAAAACTGGAAATAGGAGTAAACTGTTGCACAACCCTCTTATTCTACCAATAAGACATATTCGTCCACGGACGTATGAATTTTAAAAACCATAATATGCATTTCACCGAGATGCATTTTCTAATAAATTTTATATTCTACTTAATATTATGAAAACTTGTAATATTTATGTTGCTTTGATCACGTACTAACGATTAAAGATAACTCCGTCCAGAATCAGGCAATGTGCTTTCTAGTGTCACCTTCAGCAATTTATTTAATCTCTCTGGGCCTCAGTTTCCTGCTTTGCAAATTTGGGACAGTAGGAGGACTTCGTCGTTGCAAAGATTGTATGAGTTAATGCATGCAAAAGCTCTTAACGCCATGCCTGGCGCACACAGCGTGCTGCGCAAGCGTGGCCAGCTATTATCACAGTAATCAAGAGCCAACCCGTTAAAACTAAAAGCCTGAGGGTTCGTCTTAGCCGGCAGGAAGAAGGCGCTGGAGGGGTCGAGCGCTAGTCCGCTAGGCCCCAGGAAAAATGAGAAGGGCTAGGAAAGAGGGGGACAGTAGGCGCCCTGGAGCTACCTGCTTGCGGGAAAACAGGGCAGAATCATAGGAGAACGAACAGAATTGGGAGCGTTTAGACCAAGCAGTTCCACGTACAGTTTGCATTACAAATTATGCATCTCGACTGCTCCGCGAAGCGGGAGCAGGAGCTCCGGGCCTCCACGCCGCCGGAGAGGGCCTCGGGCCAGAGCCCGCTCCCCGCGCGGGCCTGCAGTGGACG